AAAGCTTTCAAAAGCTTATGTGGGTGCTGGGGAGATAGCTCAGCCATCTAAGTGCCTGCATGGCAAGCGCAAGGACCTGAGTTCATTCCCTGGTACCACATGCTGTGCTGGCCCTGGAACTCTGGGCACCCCATGCTGACCACTAAAACTGGACATGATGGAGCACACCTGCAATCTCAGCAATGGGGAGGCTGAGAAAGAAGGATCATTGTGAGTCTGAACTGTGTAGCAAGACCCTGGACCAAACAAACAAACAAATAAATAAATAATTGTGTAGCTTGACTACACTATTAACTGGGTCACACTGTAGGATGAGTTGTCAACTACACCGACCAATGTGGCTGCTGCTGGCTATAAGTGGATATTTTAAAACACTTGAAATTAGGTTAGTGAGGCAAAGAAGACTTTTTATTTTCATTTTCATCTATTTAAATGTCAGTAGCTACAAGTGGCTAGCTGATAGTACTTTAGGCAGCACAACTCTAGAAATCAGTGAACAATAATATTTGAAAAATACAACCTTTCTAGAAGAGCAACAGTAGGAGAGAAGACACAAGGTGAGAACTGGTGTGCATCTGTCTCAAAGTGATTTTCATTAAAAGTCTGTAAAAGTCCTGTTTTTGAGAAATCTTTCTTTTCATGATTGCTAACCACAATCCTCTCTTCTGTACCTGGCATTCTGTTTTCACATTAGCTCATTCTGTTGTATTTACTTGCAGTGGAATTTTTAATCTCCTGCATATGTTTCAATCTGTTTTATGAATTCTATTTCTTTTGAAATTTGTATAGTGTTATACAGTTTTTATCACTGAAAATTATAAATATTCACAGAGCTTTACACATTAAACCTGAAAATTAAGATTTCCTGCTCAGTCTTTAAGTACTCCATCTGAGAGGATTTGATTTATTTTTAACCTATTTCTTTAAAACAACTAAATACCCAGTCAGTTCATTTGCAGGGGCCAGTTAACATCAGTTAAGGTGAAAAGCTGCCAGCAGTATTTCTACAGAAACCTTGCAAAGCTGCTGGAGAGAACTCAGAAATAAACACTATAATTTAGCAAACACAGTCAACAATTCATTCCTTCAGTATGAACTGATACATTCTTGTGAGGCATCTTTTTCGATTATGACAGATACTACAACTAAGTGTGAAATAAATTGAAATTTAGAGATCTTTGAAGCATTATATTACTATTAAATTAAGACTTTATAACTGATATTTCAAATGTGAT